TGTCTCAACTAATGCAATCAATTCCAATACTATTTATTTAATAAGTTAAGACCATATTATAGCTGACGTATGCCTTAACACAATAATCTAACACAAAGTTTACACATTGTTTTCGCAATAACTCCACTGAAAACGACATGCAATACGTATATAAGACATGATTAGGACACATAAAAACAAAAAAGCAAAACTGTATACACACGACAAAAGTGTTACATTTTATGTATAAATCAAGTACTCGGGTATTGTGTGTTTAATTTAAGACATACTGCACTTTTTGGGTGTAGGGCTGACACACGCTATATGTTATGTTTGTGTGTTTATATCTGGTGTGCACCGGTATCTCAGTGTATATCTAAAATGTTTGTGAATTAGTTTCCGTAAGCCTTTGTTTAGTGATATAATTCTTTTGACTCTAGAATACAGTATACACAGTAACTCACAGAATATTCTGTATATTCTGTGTGTCTCACATTAATCGATAAGCCATCGAAACAGTATTAAAGCGATAGTACACTTAGAAATCAAAGAATTCCCGCACAGAATATTCTTGCAGTCTCTCACACACAGAATATACCCTTTTCTAGTGATATTTGGATTGTTTTTATGTTTAGTTTGCATTACTTTTGTGTTTTACTACCGATTCATACGGATAGGAAAGACTTCAGGGATTTTCGTTGTTTTGTTTTGCCGTAAACTTAATGGACGTTTCATTTTAGGATACATTGTTTTAGAAAATTTTTATTGTATTTAGCACTCAATCACTTTATATGATCTTGGATATAAATCTATAAAAAAAAGTTTTAACTCTAATTGTTCAGTAAATACTTTAAAATATATCTAGCAAAACTTGACAATGCTATATAAGTAAAGTATCAATTATTAAATCTTCAAATAAATTTATAATATCATACATTAAAATATTACCAATTAATTAATGAGAATAAAAAATTTATCTCAATATCTTGAGCATCTCCAAATATTTACTTTTAAAAATAATAGTAAAAATATATATTTTATTTAAATAATACATTACAGTTATGTAACAACATTAATTTAAAAATCTCTATGCACACTACCTTAAATACATTATACAAAACACTTTACATAAGATTAGATTTTGAATAAATTATAAATTGGAATTTTGCAGGAAATTTATTTTCCCAGAATTTAAACAGAATATTCTGCTAAATATTTTATTAGCTAGAAAACAAAGACATAATAAATAAAAATTCTGGGAAATACAAATCGGTATATGGATTGCGAGTAAATGATTTTTTCCTACGAAAAAACCACATCATAGCAAATACAATGAAAATTGTTTTATTCCTAGTATTCTGTGTAAACACTATTTCACAGATCCGTGTGGTAGCCCCTGAAAGGTTTGTTTCATTTGTATTATATATAGCCATAGAGACTGTCATAGAGATTGTACACCAAATGCTATACAAATGACACAAACTTTACAGGAGCTACGATATGTGTCAGTAAAATGACATTAATTAATTTATCGTATAACCTTGGTGCTGTATTCCCCGTAGGATTTGATCGAGATGTCTCGCATGACATTCGTCGGACAGCAAACCAGGGATCGGCTCAACTGTGCCTTAGATGCAGTGGTGGAAAGGACTCAGGACTTCACCGATTCTGCGTACACGAGCCACGAGCACCGGGAGAAGATTTTGCTACTCTGTGATCGAGCCCGACTCGAGCTCAACACTTTGCTCAGAATTGCGCTCTGCCTGGTAATTAGCCTGGTGCTACCATTCCTCCACCAATCCCATTTCCGATCCTTATATATAATTGGATTGCGTGTTTGGGCATGCTAATTAATTAGAGTATAGCAAAAATGGGTTAATTAACAAGTTTGTTTTTTGTCGTTCGCAAATGACCAGGAACAGGCAAGCTCCACATCGCCAAGTGAAGATTTCGAAGCTTCCATTACTCAAACCATTAGAGCTAGCATTGACTTGAAGCAAGAGGTACGACCATGTTTTGTGTCATACCATTCCCTCTCATGAAAATCAATTTTCAATTTCGCTTTTAATTGAGTCATTCATTTGAGTGTCTGTTTGCACAACACTTTTCATTGAGAAATAATTATAAAGTTTTAGTGGATTTGTTTGCAAACAATTGGTATAAAGTTTTTCGGGAAATAATTATTTACTTTCTATTAGTTATACTGTAGTTATATATATATATACAGAATATTTTGAAACTGTAAAACTTATAATTTAGTACCTAGATAGTTATAAGCAGTTTAGTATATTAACCAAACGGGATACAAATGAAATTGTCTTTTTTATTTAATAAAACTTAAAAACTTTTAAATCACATCAGTTTTTGGTGAAATATGAGTAGGCTGTATGTCTCAATATTTATATATAGTATACTGTGACGTAGGTTATATTTTAGATCATTTGCAAGGTGATTACATAAAAACTAGTGTTCAGTATTTTGAGGCTTATATGCAAACTTCTAGAAAAATATTAAAGTTTATTAATTAGACGGTAATGTATTAATAAATTGGTTATAATTGCACTAGTTTTCAAGTGATACCAATTAAAGTTAAAATACTGTTTTATAAATAAATTATAATATGGTAATATTTATTTCAAAATATAAATATCGACAAACGATATTAACAAAAACAAATGCCTTTGATTTAGTTTGTCATTTATTTGCTCTGGACATTCAGGGACCAACATTATTATAATCATAATAAATAAACGTCTAATAATTACTTTCAAATTTAATTTACACAGTATATCTAAAATAGCAGAAATATTTCTACATAAAATCAATTGAAACATGAGATATTATATATCAATTACACTTACCATACCAATCACTCTAACCTACCGTTCCCCTACAGCTACAAGACACTGCCTTAGACCAAATCGACGAGCTTTTCAAACTGGACGCGAGCCAACTGGAACTGGTGGCCCGACTCCGGAACACAGCCCTGGCCTCAGACCACGAAAGGCTGGACGAGTACTGCGAACAGTTCAACGAGTACTGCGAACGGGTGCAGGAGGTGTGTCGGCTCCTACACCACACGTCGACCACCGAAACCACGCAAATCACGTCCAAACACTTGGAGCAGT